ACCAAATTTTGAGGACACTTTTTTAATTGGCTCAAAGAGAGAAGTGGCCCATCTTGTCTTGTACTATCTTTGCTTACTCTTCGTCTTACACAAACTTTGTATTTAATAACACGGTAAAGGCGTGTCGTTGGTGTCTCAAGCATTCCACGTACGTCCGTTTGGGTACTTTTTTTTTTACACCAGGTACAAAAACCCCCCACAACAACAACTAGTTATTGTCGTGTGGTTCCTATCAGGTATCGTGATAAAAAGAAAACTGTAAACCATGCCCAAAGGATTAAACTGTATTTTGTTGATGTTGAAAGATGTATCATTCATTGACAGAGCTTGGGAAGGGCAGGGGGTAAAAATAATTCAAAACAAAAACGACCCCCTCCCCCAAGAATAAAAGAATGTTGGACTTATGTGCATTGGTTGGGGCAGCAATGATGTTATTTTATAATAGTGCACGTCAGTGGGTAAGTAAGTGTAAAAATTATGCTGTACCTTGCTCGCCATTATACGATCTTGAACAGACGAGAAATCGGGTATTGCTGTGACGTACTCAGCACAGGAAGCTGATAACTAGGCAAGGACTATGTGTTATGCCAAAGATTGTACATAACAAGATAGTTCACTCGGCCAAAAAAGTGTCTGCAGAAGTCCGTGCATTTGTTCAGATGTCGCTGCAGTCTTTTTTTTGGAAGCTCTCTTTCGTTTCTCGAGAAGAATAATGTGCATCAGCTCTTCCGGTTCGCTCAGGGCGGAGTTTTGGGTTTATTTCATTTTAATGACCTCTCGCGTCTCGTTCTAAAGCCTAATTAAACGAAGAGAACTATCGCCCCTTCCACCTGAAATGGATTTTAGACAGCATGACCATTTAAAGAGGCGTTATTCCGAAAATGTAATTATAATTTATACAAATACTAATTGTTAGTTTCACTTTTTTCTCTTAATCTAAAAATCGTTTACCTTTTCGGCTTCCATTTGTTCTACTCAGACTGTTAACAGAAAAAAAAGAAGATTTCTTTGAAATGGTTAGAAAAAATCAAACATGTTCATATACAACAACAACAAGAGCAACAACATCAACAACGATAATAATAATAATAATGGCACGAACGGAAAGTGTGTAGTGCTTTATAAAGCATAATGGAATAATAATAATAATGATAATAGGAATAATGATACTGAAAATAATAAATAATGATAATGATAATAATGATAACAATAACAACAACAA